TGCGCAGATCTCAGCCTCCTGAGTAGCTATGATTACAAATGTAAGCCACCAGTGCCTGGCAAGAATTTCTTCAAAATGTCTGCCTATCAGTTACCCTACATTCACCTGTAAATTGTGTGTGAAGTCTCAACCTCTCGGTTGCTGCAAAACCCAGGCAAACTCCCTAAGTGATCCCAAAGTTAATTCATTTTGACTATAACACTGAATGCTCTCCATGATTCTTTTCAGGTGCTATTTAACTATGGATGCTGAGTGGGAAATAAGGGTTAAAAAAAATTGGTCCTTGGCATGATAAAGCCACTAAGTTGCATGTCCCTACTTCCAATGTGGTCTAACTGCTTGCAAGAAAAGCTAGCTGCTATTCCTTGACCCAATAGTTGAGCTCCTTCAGAGTCTCCACCTTTCAAGATGAGAATATTACAAAACATTTTAAGCTTTTCAATTAATATAGAATTGTAAGAGTCATTCCTGCAGAAGGGTAGATGCAAAGCCCTTTGTAGGTGCTGTCAGATAAGAATAGTGTTTCTTTGTAGCACACAGACTCAGAATTCATCATTTTTCTCTTTTCCTAATTGCTTTGTATTCTTTTTAGAAAATCAATTGCAGTGGGTGAGGCCTGTGATTCGTTCTGCTTTCTTCCCTGCTGTGCCGAGAGGAGATTGTAACTGCATACATGCCAGTTTATCAGCCAAATTACTCGCTAAGATCAGTCAGTGGTGTCCTTAAAAAAGGGGTGGGGGATGAAAACGCTAATACAGAATTTATATTTCAATTTTACCTGAAGCTATAATTTAAAAGAAAGCCAAGATGATTTTTAAATATTATTGGCCGCCTATCCCAAGGGAACTTGACAATCAGAACTTGATGAGAGGGAAAAAAATCATCATCTGAATTGCCTCCTCGTCAGAGTGTCTGTCTTTTCTACCTCTTCAGCACGTGCTCAGGCGCACTTAGTTGAGGAGTTGAAGACAAACTATGACAGTGATCTAATGGTGAGCGTCAGGTATGAGAATTGACCTCTACAGGTAAATATTTTAGTACCAACTCCATTATTGGAAAGAAAAGCCAGGGCTCTTCTGTGAAGCATGTAAAGACTTTAACACACTGGTGTGACAGTTTCTTGACCCCAGTGCCAGGCATGTAGGGAGCAAAAAGGAAGAAGGAAGAAATAAAAAATAAAGAGGTTGTTAGGCTAAGGAATCTAATAGCCAGGATGTAGTTTGAATGAGGGCTCGAGACATATGACCAAACCTAATAATAGAAAGAACACACAGATAAGAATGAGAGAATTTGTGGTTCATAGTCTCCACCAATGATTGTGGGGTCAGCTCCCATTCAATATCATGATCTAAAGATTGGAGAATTGTTTGCTTGAAGATGTGAAAGACAGAAAGCAGCTCACAGGAAGCTAACACTATCCGAACAAGGAACCACCTCACCTCAGTATCCCCAGTCAGCTGGGGATGACAGCTGTTGGGCTGACCTGGCTAGAAGGCAACCTAGGTAGCAAGATAAAACTCAATCTGCACTGAAAATTAAGAGCTGACAGAGACTACTAGAAGCTGCTAGATGAGGTAATGTGAATGGCAATGGGAAAGCATAAAAAACAACCAAAAAGAAGAAAATGGTCATTTTTTTGTATCTTTTATAATTTTAATCTTAGCAAAAAAACTCCATAGGTCTTTGATTTAAAAGCAAATAATAATTTCATGTATTTTAATTTCATATTCTTCCAAGAAAATATTTGCAATTGTGTCTGGACTAACCTGTTACTGAAAGCTTACTGAGTATTGAGTGGAAAGAATTCTTTCCTGCCCACTTGGGATGGCTCAATAGAGAAGAGGAATTGGAGGAAGAAGGGTTTTCTGCTTTGGACTTACCAAAAGGATATGTGTATGATCTACTAACCAAAAAGAGAGAACTCTTAGAATGAAAGAAGTTGCCATTCAGAAGGGGCATCTGTTTAACAGGTATAAAGCATCACTGTCTTGAGAAAATGGATAGATAGTCGCCTGACTCTTTAAAAAATATTCAAAGAATTCGTATGTACCCACGGAAGAGGCCCCAAGTAGCCAAAGTAACCATGAGCCAAAAGAACAAAGCTGAAGACATTATCATATCTATCTTCAAAACACAGTGCAAACCTTTATTAACCAAAACAGCATGGTACCAGCATAAAACAGATGGATGGATCAATTATTTGAACAGGACTCAGAAATAAATTCTGCATTTACCATCAATTCATTTTCATGACAGACAGGCACTGAAACACACAATGGGGAAAGGACATTCTCTTTAATAAGTGGTGCTGGGAAAACTGGATATCCACATAGAAAAGAATGAAATTAATTTCCTGTCTCACATTGTACCTGCAAGTCAACTCAAAGTGGATTAGATTAGACAGTTAAAACTAAGACCTGAAACTAGGAAACCCCTAGAAGAAAACATAGAGGGAATACTTCAAAACATTAGAATGGGCAAGGATTTTTGAACAAAAGTTGAAAAGCACAGGAAACAAAGCCAAAATAAACAAGTGTGAGAACATCAGACTAAAAAACTTCTGAACAACAAACAAAGCAATTAATAGAGAAAGGAAGTTGGGAACCTAGATAATGGGAGACAATACTTGCAATCTGATAATAGATTAATACCCAAAATCTATTAAGAAACCAAATAAGGCAATAGCAAGCAAACAGATAAAAATTATGAAGTGGGCAAATGACCTAGACATTTCATAAAAGAAGACATTCAAGTAACTAAAAGTTCTACCAAAAATGTTCAATATCAGTGGTCATCAGGGAAATGCAAGTTAAAATCACCATGAGATATAACTTTACAGATGTTAGAACGCTATTACAACCAAAACAAAAGTAACAAGTGCTAGAGAGGACACGGAGGAGAAGGAACCCTTGTGCTCCGCTAGTGGGAAAGCAAATCGATGCAGCCACCATAGAAAAAGCTATGACAGTTACACAGAATATTAAAACTAGAACTACAATATGTTCCAACAATCTCATTACTGGGTATATATGTCCAAACGAAATGAAATTTATATGTGGAAGACATATCTTCTTTTTGTATTTATGATAGCAATATTTACAATAGCCAAGTGTCTAAATAGAATAAGCCTATGTGTATCTTCAGTAAATGTATGGGTAAAGAAAATATGTTATCTATATACAGCAGAATACTATTCAGCCATTTTAAAAAGGAATAAAATCCTCCACTTGTGATGACATGGATGAACCTAAAGGACACTGTTACTGTGCCATCAAAACTGTCTCTCTCACGTGAGCAGGTTAGGACTATATAGCTGAAGAAGTCCCTTGCTGGCAAGAAATTTCAGTCTCTATGGCAAGGGCACTGCCTGGTGACCACAATTAGCTAGTCCATTAGTGTCTTTATTTTTCTAATATTTCACAGACCACTGTAGATGGGTGGTGTGCTAGAGAATTAATAAGAGGATTAGCCCAAGACTTTGGCTTTGTGCAAGAGAATGAAATAATAAAAATGGGTTCTTGAGACATTATCTATCTGGTTTTAAAATGGACTTGCCTAAAAAAGTTGACTAGAGATAGAGAGGCAGATTTGAGTTAGAAAATGATGGAGTAAAAAGTCGGACTACCAGGAGACTGGTTTATTCTGACTAGGAAACAAGATAATAACAGGACCCATTTTGTCGTTAAAGCCTAGTTTCTTGCAAGTATCAGAAAACAAAGTTGTAAGGAAGAAATTTTGAGTTATCCATGGGTTCTCATTACAAGAAAATGCATAGCCTCCTCTGCTGACATTTTAAAGCAAACTAGTATTCACAAACTGGCTGTAGAACACTAGAAAGCCTGAGTCATAGCCCAGCTTTGTTTTGTTGTTTTATTGTCTGTCAAGACCAGAGAGGCAGTTTCTGTAAAACAAACAAACAAAATGTCCACATCAAAACACCTTTATTCTTTTTCCTTTGAAAATATAACACAATGAAGTAATGGCACATCTGGTTTATTAAGGATCTTTTTAGAAATCCTGTAAAGGCATAAAGATGTTGGGAAGTCAACACCAAGACCAGAACGCTCAGGCTGAAGAAGATGAATCAAAGGGTCACAGATTGAGAAATTGTATAAGCTTTGAATCAATACCCCAACAAACCCAAATTGCAGTTTTGTGTAAATTTTCATATGCAACTCACAATTCCAGCAGTGTGGAAGCAAAACAAGTCATAGGACAGAGGTGAATGTATGGGGATCACTGGAGATATTCTAGGTTTCATAGCAAAATTTTCTAAGTCAAAAAGCAAGATAAATTTTCCCTCCTTACTAGCGTTCCAAATAGTAAATCTAGGGTCCAATACTAAACAGCAACAGATTCTATTAAGAGTCCCATTCTTGTGTGTAATGACTCTGTGTCTCCTCAGTATCTCAGCTGTGGATTTTCAAAAAACAAGAAATTGTTGTTGTTGTTTTACTCCCTAGTCCATGTGACTTAAAAGCTGGGTTTAAGCTACCTCACATTCTTCCTCTTTGATAAAGCACAGTAAAAACTTTCCCTTTGGTTCATCCACCCATTTACTTAGAAGGTAGGCGTGCATGAGTCTCAACCAAGCAGGCACCAAAAAATGTAATTAGAAGGCAGATGGGGGTCTGACTCCTAGAAGTTAAGAACTTCACTATTACTACCACGCTTCAGTACTGAGAGTGTATGAAAGGTCAAGCTTGACTGAGCCAAACCATCATATATAGACTAATACAAGCACAGAAAAGTTGACTGTAGGGTATTCATGTCAAGGCAAATGTGAAACTTAACAAGTGACTTTGCCCCTTCTTTAGTTTTCATCACATTTATTAAGATTTCGGGGCCCTCAGATCCCCTCGAGCTGTTAGTTATGAGAAGACATGAGAGCTGCTTCTTTCTCTCTGTGACTTGACTCTGCTCAGCAAATGTGGTGATGACTTAGATGATCCTTTCTGCTTCCCATTTGTTTACCTTGCGTTTGCCTTCATCCTTTCTAGGAAGCAGAATGTGCCTACGTCCTTTTTGTGGTCGCCATATTGTGGATCACAGAAGCTTTGCCTCTGTCAATCACAGCTCTACTTCCAGGCCTGTTGTTTCCCCTGTTTGGGATCATGCCTTCTACAAAAGTAAGTAAGGCCCTCATTGGTACATTCTTTATTTTGTGTGGTGGTTTCCTGGGAGAAAAAGAACCATAATCCTTTTGCTAAAGGTTTCCTCTGAAATCCTTTGTCACTGTCTGAATCTTCCCTATCTGTAGAAGAAATGCCTGTTCTGTGCTTCCTTCCTTGCACAAAAGGGCCAACGTGTTCACATTCTGCCAAAGCTTTCTCTGTTCATCAGAATTTGATCTCACAGTATTGAAAAAGCAATTTCTTTTGTTTTTTAATGAAGGAAAAGTTCCCTGTTTTCTTTTCCAGAAACCTGGCATTTCAAAAGCTAAAGCCAAATTAAGTTTCATGTGTATTTCTATTTGGTTCTCACTGAGAGGAGTTTATTCACGCTGAGTGCTGGTATTTTTTTTTCTTTCTTTCTTTTTACCTTTATACAATCTAAGGCTACCCATCTGAAGAAAATGGATTCAATTTCCCATTAAAAGCATGAAATGCGCTGAAACAAGAATATCTACCTCCATGCAGTCTCCAGCCATCCAGAAAACAAAACCTGCCTAAACCACAGCTAAAACATTCTCAGGGAAGATGTCAAGTTCTCAGTCAGTGTAATTTATCACCTTTGGGATTCCATCTTCTTGCCTTCTCCACCACTGTTCTCATGAGGCTTATTTGTCTTTCGTGTGGGTAGAGATTGCCTTTTGAATTATCCCTTGATTACAGTTCTTCCTAAGAGAAAAGTTGTTCCCATTGTTCTTCCTCATTTTGGAGCCCACATCTTTTTTCTTTTTTAAACTCCTGATTCTCTCTGTATCTCTCTTGTATTTTTCTTCCAGTATGTCTCTTTTTACACTAACTTACTCCTACTCTTGATGTATTTCATTTATTTTGTATGAGCTTATATGAGTTACCTTATTTTCTTTCTAATTATCATTGCTTTGGAAGATTACACAGATAAAGCTGTATCCCAGTATTCCTTTCTGAAGTTCTACTGCTAAAAAATCCAAAAATCTATGGTAAATAATGCTGCAATAAACATAGTTGTGCTGATAGCTTTAATACGGTCTTGTTTGTGATCATTCGGGTAAATGCCCAAAAGTGGGATTGCTGGGTCATAGGGGAACTCTATGTAGAGTCTTTTGAGGAACCTCCATACTGCTTTCCAAAGTGGTTGAACAAGTTTACACTCCCACCAACAATGCAGTAAGGTTCCCTTCTGTCCACATCCCCTCCAGCATCTGTTGTTATTAGAGTTCTTGATTATAGCCATTCTAACTGGGGTGAGGTGGTATCTCAATGTTGTTTTCATTTGCATTTCTTTTATGGCTTGGGAGGTTAAGCATTTTTGCATGTGTCTATTGGCCGTCCTTCTTTCCTCTTCAGAGAAGTTTCTCTTTAAGTCTTTAGCCCACTTATTTATTGGGCAGTTGTTTCTTGGAAGCTTTGTTGTTGGGGGATTTAATTTTTGAGTTCCAAGTATATTTTAGATATGAGACCCTTGTCCATTGTATGGTTAGTGAAGATCTTCTCCCAATCCCTGGGCTTTCTATTGATCTTGCTAGCTATGTCTTTTGGCATTCAGAAGCTCTGCAATTTCATGCAATCCCATTTGTCCAACCTTTCTTTGATTTGTTGTGTTTCTGGGTCTCTATTAAGAAAATTTTGGCCTGTGCCAAGGAGACCTAGGGTTTCTCTATTCCTATTCCATCCTGTAATGTTTTCAGAGTGTCTGCTTTGACTCTGAGGTCTTTGATCCATTTGAAGTTGATTCTGGTGCAGGGAGATATATTAGGATCTACCTTTAGTTTTCTACAAGTGATTAACCAATTTTGCCAGCACCATTTACTGAAGAGGCTGTCTTTCTTCCATTCTATTTTTTTAGCTCCCTTATCCAAGATTAGATGGCTGTAGGTGTGTGGGTTCATTTCTGGGTTTTTTAATTCCATTGGTCCTGAGGTCTGTTCTTGTGCCAGTACCAAGTTGTTTTGATTACTTTGGCTTTGTAGTAGAGTTTGAAATTTGGTATTGATATTCCTCCAGCACTGTTCTTTCTGTTAAGTATTGTTTTTGCTATTTGGGGTCTTTTATTGTTCCATATGAATTTTTGGATTTCCTCTTCTATTTCTTTGAAGAATGAGGTTGGAATATTGAAATGCACTCATTACCTTGCTCATGTAATTGTAACCCCTCTGTACGGTATTTTCACAATAAAAAAAAATCCAAAACTCGAGTTTCTTGAGCCAAAAGGCATGGTGCCTGCATTTAGTATCAACAGTTGTGCGTGCCAGTGTTGCTTGAATTTTTTTAAATTAGTATGGTTCCTACCCCATTCTTTATGAGTTACAGAACTTGATTTCTACTCTCAAATGTTCTATCTTCAACTCTATTACCACCATCAAGCTTTTCTCTTCCCAGAACTAAAACTAGTTTGTCAAGAATATTTAGGAATTAAGTGAGTTATTAAATATCAGGTCTAGTTATATATGCTGTATAGTATTGCTATTATTTCTAGAACTAGATCTAATGACTAGATCACTCCAGAAGCATCCAAATCTTGCAGAGGATTTATCATCCCTAGAATATCATCCTAATTTTATTTTAAATTTGTATGATTGAAAAAATAGATTTGATTAGCTAAAATTTCCAGGAAGAAAAAGCACTTAGGACTTTTAATGAGGACAACTCTTTTCAGTCTTGTGGTCCTCTTTCCAGACAGGGTAACTGACCTTGAGCTTACAAATAACTGATCCAAAATACAAAGCACCAAGAAAAGTCTCAGCGGTGTAGGCAGAAAGGCCTATACTTAAAATTCGGTACTTAATCTAATTATTTAATTAATCTTATTATATCATTTAAAGCTATTTTTTAATCATACCAAAGTGGAACATGAAAAAGCCATACAATGCAAGGGATGTTTTATTTATTTTTTTTTAATTTAATTTAATTTTATTTGTGAACATACTGTACAGAGGAGTTACAGTTACATAGGCAGGATAATGCGTACATTTCTTACCAAGCATTGCAGCTTCCTCCTTTGTTTACCCTTCACATCCCTTCCCAGCCTCCCCCCTCCCCCTCTAATCCCAATCCTTCTCCTTCCCCCCCTTCCCCCCCTTCCCCCCCCCCCCCCCCCCCGTCCCCGCACCAACGTTGTAAAGCTCGTTTTGGACATGACAACTTGTACTTCTCATTGTTGCAACAGGTCCACCTGTATCCTTAAACAACTGGTTTTTCCCCATCTCCTCAAGTTATACTGACATCAAATATAGTGAAAGCAGGGATTATACTGTGGGGGAAGGACATACAAAGCAACAAAGAGATAATCTTATAAATGTGTTAGAAACACATGCATGAAAGAAAAAAACATTAAAATACACATCTAAGGGTTCATTTTCCTGACATCACATTATCTGACCTTTTCCGCTTGACTCATACATATACTAGATATTACAAATAAGGGAAACCATGGGACCTACGTTTCTTTGGGCCTGGCTTACTTCACTTAATATAATTTTTTCCAAGCCTTTCCATTTCCTAACAAATGGGGAAATGGCATTCTTTCTGATGGAGGCATAGAATTCCATTGTGTATATATACCACATTTTCTTGATCCATTCATCTACTGAGGGGCATCTGGGTTGGTTCCATATCTTAGCTATGGTAAATAATGCTGCAATAAACATAGTTGTGCTGGTAGCTTTAGTGTGGTCTTGTTTGTAAACATTAGGATAAATGCCCAAAAGTGGGATTGCTGGGTCATAGGGGAGCTCTATGTGAAGTCTTTTGAGGAACCTCCATACTGCTTTCCAAAGTGGTTGAACAAGTTTACATTCCCACCAACAATGAAGTAAGGTTCCTTTCTGTCCACATCCCCTCCAGCATCTGTTGTTGTTAGAGTTCTTGATTTTTGCCATTCTAACTGGAGTGAGGTGATATCTCAATGTTGTTTTGATTTGCATTTCTTTTATGGCTAGGGATGGTGAACATTTCTTCATGTGTCTATTGGCGATCCTTCTTTCTTCTTCAGAGAAGTTTCTCTTCAAGTCTTTAGCCCACTTATTTATTGGGCAGTTGTTTCTTTGAGGATTTGTTGTTGGGGGGTTTAATTTTTTGAGTTCCAAGTATATTTTAGATATGAGACCCTTGTCCGCTGTATGGCTAGTAAAGATCTTCTCCCAATCTGTGGGCTTTCTATTGATCTTGCTAGCTATGTCATTTGCCCTGCAGAAGCTCTGCAACTTTATGCAATCCCATTTGTCCAGCCTTTCTTTGATTTGTTGTGTTTCCGGGTCTCTATTCAGAAAATTTCGGCCTGAGCCAAGGAGACCTAGGGTTTCTCCTATTCCATCCTGTAATGTTTTCAGAGTGTCTGCTTTGAGTTCAAGGTCTTTGATCCATTTGGAGTTGATTCTGGTGCAGGGTGATATATAAGGATCTAGCTTAAGTTTTCTACATGTAGTTAACCAATTTTGCCAGCACCATTTACTGAAGAGGTTGTCTTTCTTCCATTCTATTGTTTTAGCTCCCTTATCGAAGATTAGATGGCTATAGGTCTGTAGGTTCATTTCTGGGTTTTCAATTCTATTCCATTGGTCCTGAGGTCTGTTCTTATGCCAATACCAAGCTGTTTTGATTACTATGGCTTTATAGTAGAGTTTGAAGTTTGGTATTGATATTCCTCCAGCAGTGTTCTTTCCATTCAGGAGCGTTTTTGCTATTCGGGGTCTTTTATTGTTCCATATGAATTTTTGGATTGCCTCTTCTATTTCCTTGAAGAATGAGGTTGGAATTTTGATAGGTATTGCGTTGAATTTGTAGATAGCTCAAGGGATGTTTTAAAAATCAGATAATAATTCAGACCAGGTATAAAGAGATACTGAATATATTACTGATAAATGTTGAACCAATCAACTTTCTTGTTTGGATTTTAGAAAGAAGAGATTTAAGGATGCTTCTTAGATTTTTGACCTGCTCAATGGAAAAAAAATTTCATGTGAAATGGGAAAGATGAGTAGCAGCACAGATCTATTGTAGAAGAAATGTAGACACCTAGAGCTCAATGCTAGACATGTTAATCTGAAATGGCCCTTGTTCATCTAAGTGAAGATGTTGAGTAGTGGTGGGTGTAGCTCTCCAGAGTCAAGAGTTCATGCCAGGCAGCTGATCAGGAGATAGATCTGCCAGTTACAAGCACAGAGATGGCAGTCCAAGCTCTATGACCTTAGATCGCTAAAAGAGAAAGTAAAGACAGACAAGCAGAGAGAACAAAGAACAGAGCTCTGGATAAATAAGGCATAGGGAGGAGGGAACTCAGGAGCACCGGAAACCTTGTGAACCAAATGCCTCAAAGAAAGATGCAGAGGCCATACCTGCCAAAGGTGCTGACAAGTCAGTTATTGTGAAGACTGGAAGTTTGATCACTATATTCAATGAAACAAATTCAATAAATACATAAAAACTGGTTTCTATAGCACATGCATTTTGACTAGCAATGTACTTTAAAACTTTTTATTATTATTATAAAGGTTGTGTCCAGAGGGGTTATGTTCGCGTAAGTCAGGTAGAGTCCATTTGTTTTTGGACAATGTTACCCCTTCCCTCGCTCACAATATACTTTTTAAGAAACATTTAATTCACACTTGATGTGGTGTAGCACTTAATGATTGCAGCTTCTTGTTTGATTTGTACAAAGATTGATCAATGGATAAATCATACAGCTATGAAAGAACCCAGGAGCTCTTACTGCAGAATTCTGTTTTTTGATGAAATCCTATTTGGTTACAGAAACAAAAAGTACATTTATCTTGCAAGAAGACTTCAAATCTCATTGATTTAATTTCCTGTATTTTGTCTTTCCCTCCTCCTATTTTTTCTTTTTTCTTTCATTTCTTTGAGATAGCCCAACACTCCTCAGATTCATCATCCTCCTGCCTCAGCCTCTTGATGTGGGATTATAGGGGTGCATCATCAGCCCTCATTTACTTTTTTCTTAATAAGACCATGAGTAAGAATATAGAACATATTTAAATATGCATTCAAACACATCTACTTTTCTGTCTCTCAATACAATAGAAAGATATATAGTCGAGGTTAAAGTTAAGAGCAGCCTAATAATGTCTTTCTTATACAATAGTATCTTTCTTTTCCCCACACCAGTATTCTTGGTTATGGGTTTAATTGGAATTTCAGGTGGCATCTGCATATTTCAAAGATTTTCACCTGCTGCTAATTGGAGTCATCTGTTTAGCAACATCGATAGAAAAATGGAATTTGCACAAAAGGATTGCTCTGAGGATGGTGATGATGGTGGGGGTGAATCCAGTATGGTAAGTGCTATGTTTACTACATCCAGTCTACTTTCTGAACAGACCTTTTCGGGCAGGGCAAACATTCAAATAATTAATGAACATTCAGGGAATTGCTTGTATAACAGTGTAGTTCGTGACTTTTTCTTCTGTAAATATGAAAGTGATATAAAGTATGCTTGAGTTGTAGGAAGAAACAAAAAACAACTCTCCTTTCACTGCAGGTCTAATTACAGGGAAATTGGAATAAGTGCACAAAACTCTCTCACCCTTAATGCACCATTGGAGTCAAAGATGAGAGAAGCCTTGAACTTCAACAGGCAAGATTGATAGACTTCAGAGTAGATTTCATTCCTATCTTGTTTATTTGGCTGATTACACATTCAAAGCTTGTTCAAGAGCATCCTTTATCAACAGGGAGCATGTTATGAGCCAAAGACAAAGACATTACTGACAAAATACAAATGTGTGCAGAAACATTACAAGGTGAACGTTTTTCTTTTTAAATCAATTGTTGCAAAGTGAAACAATCAATTAGGAACTTTCATCTATACGTGAAATTACTCACTTGACTGATTTTTTTTCCTTTTTCTCTCATTAAATTAATTGCCTAGTTTGGTTTTATTCCACCTCTTGTTAAGAACATGAATGCAAACTAAGGAAAAGCTCCAGTGTCATAATCATTTGCATAATGATACTTGCTTTAAAGCCTTAGGAGGTTCTTTCCTTCTCATCTTTCTTCGAAAAATAAGAAAATCTTATTGACTTTGGTTGTGTAATTCCTTCTAGGCTATAGGCATATTTGTGTTTATCATGTATTCAGCAAATTGTTTTGGTAAATACCAACTGTATGCTTGTGTATATACCTGTAAGTGAGTGCTTTACATATGTAAACTACATATATTTACACATGTAGAATACATATGCAAATGCATCATATATATGACATACAAACCTAATTTGAAAAACATTACTTACAAGTTTTATAACATATATGCATTTAAGGTGCTTTATTCTTTAAGTAATATGGTATCTCATGTTTCTTGGGTTCTAGAGAAAAAAATGTTTTTCTTACCCAAAGGAGAAGACAATGGACCGTGTACAAAATGCCACTAGTGACATTATCACCAATGAGAAACCTGTATCTGATTCCAATCTTCTGAATATGAAGATTTCAGATCTTTTAGCTTCCATCAGTTAAAAGTGCTTTTGAGTTTCTGTTTGTTAAGAATCTTTTCTCTTTCACAGATGTCTGCAAAGGTTTCTTTTACTTGGTTTCACACATAGAAAATATTCACCATATCCAAGTCTGAAATACAGTGTGGAATTGTTCTTGTAAATCTATTTTTAAAAGAGAGCCAGAGAATTTCAGAAATGAACTGTAGGAAAGAAGTGTTTCTGAATGATTTTCTAGAGCCTCCTACTCAAAAGAGATTGTACCTTTTTCCCAAGTGTGATTTTTGAAAGTTTATAGACATGGTTTAATATCCTAAAAAGTCTTAGGGTATGTTACTTTTAAGAACAAATTATTTGTGAGAAAAGACAATGTAATAAATCCAATGTTTGACAACAGGAAGAAATGTCAGATTTAAGAAAGCATAAATGATAGGATCTATAGACAATTCTGAAACTTCATTTTAGCAAGAGTTTGTAACCATTTTCTCCACCTACTCTGTATTGAACCCCAAGTGTGGTGGAGTACAAAGACTTATAAATATTAATCTCTTTCCTTGTTCTCTTGTCTTCTTTTTTGGGGGTCCAGTCGTGGGGCCTGAACTCTGGGCCTGGGCACTGTCCCTCAGCTCTTCAGCTCAAGGCTAGCGCTCTTCCACTTGAGCCACAGCGCCACTTCCGGCCTTTATTCTTTTTGCTTATGTGGTGCTGAGGAATCGAACCCAAGGCCTCATGCATGCAAGGCAAGTGCTCTACCACTGAGCCACCTTCCCAGCCTTTTTGTCTTCTTGACACCCATATTAACAGCATTATATCAACTACAAAACAAGCAACTCTATTTGAAAGTTGCTTGCACCCTTGATTTTTATTAATATTTTTTAAATTGCTATTGCAAAGGTGATATGCAGAAGGGTAACAGTTACAGTTATATAAATCAGGTAATGAGTACATTTCTTTTTGAACAATGTCACCTCTTCCCTCATTTTCTCCCATGTGGGGGTGTAGAGTTCATTTCCAGCACAGTGTCTAGTGAGTGTCACTATTTGCACCTTGATTTTACTTGTATCTGAAATGAGGTATTCATCTGCCAAGAGCAATCCAATTTTAGGCTAATATTACAAACTGTTAATATTGCAAACCATATGCCAACTTGCAGTTTGGTGTCAATTTAATGGCGTGTGTTTTTTGAGTGAAAATTCTTATGGTTCTCTAGGAGACAAGTCCCTTAAGAACTCCACTCTTACATGAGCTACTTTGATTTCTGTTTGGCTCTGATTGTACACAGAGTTCACCATCTGGACAGAAACTTAACTTTCGATCATTTAGGGAAAAAATGGATTCCCAACTCACAAATAAGATAGTTTGTAAACCAAAGCTAGCACACGCAGCTCCACACTAAAAGCTCTCTCATTTCAGGCTGACGTTGGGGTTCATGAGCAGTACTGCCTTCTTATCTATGTGGCTTAGCAACACCTCTACTGCTGCCATGGTGATGCCGATTGTGGAGGCTGTGGCACAGCAGATCATCAGTGCTGAAGCAGAGGTTGAAGCCACGCAGATGACTTATTTCAATGAATCTGCCACCCATGGACTGGAAGTTGATGGTATCATGTGTTGATCTGGCCACCGTGGGGTCTAATTATTTGGGCAATAAGCACAAACTCAAGAATTCTGAGATATATTTTGAATGAACTCTCTATACATGCATGATGCACATTGAACTCTCATCTTTCCAAAATCCTCAGTAGCTATGCAAAGGACTAATATAACAGTGCTAACCTTAAATTTAAAATCGAATTCATAGTCTCTGGGGAAGGGGAGGAAGGAAAAATGGCTTTCATGCTCCCTAGCCAGTTTGATGGACTACTCTTTCATATCTTTACGAATTACTCTCCAAGTTACTCTTCTTTACCCTGAAATGATTTCTTGCTTCATCATGGGACCCTTTAATTTCCACATTCCATTTGGATACAATAACTAATCTCTCTGTGGTTATTTGTGGCTCAGATGAGTTGCTCTGAGGCGATGAAAAACATGTTAGGGATATTTGTGTCTATAAAATACTGTGTTAAAATGAATTTTAGGTTGATAATAGGTGAAATTGCTTTTTTAATTTTTAGTAATGCATCCATCTTTGTCCACCCAATAATAACTTTCATACTTAGATTGTTTTCATTCATTTAATGTTTTGCAGAAACTGTCATTGGACAAGAAACAAATGAAAGGAAAGAGAAAACAAAACAAGTTCCAGGGTAAAGAATATTGATATTTTGATCGTTTTTTTTTCAAATTACATGTGAACAGAATTATACAATAGTTTGATTTGATTTATTTTTCAGATTCAGTAATGATGCTGAGAAAAGTTCAAGCAAGGTAGAGATGGAAAAGGTACACTAAATTTACTTGTCTTAAACAATTATACCTGAAATTATGTTAGAACACAGTTTGATACGCATGCATTTTAAAAACTGTTACCTCTTTTTTGTGTCTAAAATGTCATTTTGTATAACCAAGTCCAAGTATAGTCTAATGTTTGTTAAGCCTTTGTGGATAGACTGAAATCAATGTCCACATAGGAACCACTTTTGCCTCTGAAAGTATCATTATTTTCTCCTTTTTCTAGGATCATGGTTGTTGGCAGTTAGCCAATATAGTTTAAATAAATGTACTTCGAGTCTCACAATATGGTTTCATTTTCTGGTTAGAATCTTGCTGATCAAATTGCCCAACTTTTACTAGGAACATCCACCTTACAAATTTAGACCAACTCTTTTTCATGCCATTATGAGTAATCACATGATTTTAGTTTCTATTGCTATTAAAAAAATACAATGCAGGAGTCATGAGTTGCTTCTATCAAAAAAAGATGAAGGAGTTGCTGTAGTTTTTCCAGTCAAGGAAAGATGGAAAGAGATCTTTGTAAACCCTACCCTATAATCCATTCCTCCAGAATAAGTCAATATATAAACATTACACTGGATTGCCTTGGGAGCAATGTATCTCCAGACCATTGAAAAATAATCCTGCATAGAAATACCATAGTGTTAGGAATAGGAGAGTGTATTATATGTTACTTCCTCAGGCTATAATACATTAGCATGCAATTCAATGGGGAAAAAACCCACTCTGTATACAGAGTCATTTCTGTATAAAGAGAGAACAGATGCAAAGCTAAGGCTTAAGTCATCAGCTACACATACATTAAGGAGTTTTAAAAGATAAATTTCATGTATATTTATGAAAACATTGTAATCTTTAAGGCTAGAGTCTTTTAAAACATTTAAAATCAAAAGTAAGCCAGATGTGCTATGGAAGGATACATTAAAATTGATAAGAAAACAGAAATGTAAGCAGAAAGAATGTATAAACACTTAATAGGGAATGTAAATGCACTTGGTAACCTGCCTGCACACCTCGTTAGGCAGTTCATTTTCTGCATGATGCCTAAATTTCGAGTCAAGCCTCTTCAACTTGATTTGAGATCTGGCTATGTCCTGGGTATTATAGGATATATGAATAAAAAAGATCTCTGCTCTTTATTGTAAACAGTTGAGAGTCTATTGGGAATGTAAACTAGAAAAAAAAAGTCCAAGAAAAAAAATGTCTGACATGAACCCTACCACAAAGACATACTTGGAAGCCATGCTCAGAAGCCCTGATGTTTAGAAGTGGGAGCCATTGGTGCAATTTGTGTATACGCTGAGAGGAAGATGAGATAAAAATGCTGGAGTCTGAAAAAGAGGATGATGTATGCCAGCACAGGAGCTCAACTTCCTGAGCACAGGCACACATCTACACACTACTTAAGACCCTACAAGGTTTTATTATCTGACACAGAGTTGTATTCTATAGATATTTATCTTTATTCATTAATGAATGAGTGAATACAAAGTGTGAAAGAAAGCTTATACATTCAGATCAGAGAGTGCAACTCATTAAAAGAACTCTGTAAAGAAGGCTTTCAGGAAACTTGGCAATATAGTTAGAGATGGACCGCTGTAGTGATGAAACTTTTGAAGAAATTGGGTCAGCTCTTCATTTTATTTTATTGGAGCAGAGAGTCTTGGAGTTGGTTGGGCAGCATGGCAAGTTCTGCCTTTGGGAAGCTCACTTTGAGGTGACAAGGGCAAGGGCAAGGGGATGTGGACTTAAGTGGTCTTTTGGATTAATCAGACACTGGAGATGGGAGAAAGTGTAGCCAGTATTTGCCCTACTGTAATTAGGGAAAGGTAGACTAGGATGAAAAAGATCAGGATGGGGAACGTAGAGGGAGGAGTAACTTTTCCACAGACAAATTAAGATAGTTGGAGTACCTCTTAGGAAACAGAGATTTATATCTATGTTTTGGACTTTCAATGCTGATTTTATGGTCATTTTTGGAACCCCATGCTTAAATTTTCATCTGTATGTCAAAATTATGAAATTGGGGACAACTTTGTTTCCCTGTGGAAATATGGTTTTAAAAAGAGATTGAGGAAAGTAACATTTTAGATATCGTAAGATATCTAAGATATACATATATATGTATATGTTATACATATACGTATAAAAATATTTTTTCTTGCTAAGCAAATGCTCTACCACTAAACAGTAACTGAACCCCCAAGTTGAGACTATTTTTTTTAACAATTAGACCTCTCTTTTGAGGAATACCTATATCTTACAGTTCACATTGCAATTATAATTAACCGCACCTGTTTTGTGTAATTTTCACAAGATATTTTAACACTAATGGGTTCTATCAAAAAAAGTACATCTACTTTAGCTACAATACATATGATATATTTGTATTCATAATGTTTGATCTGCTTTTTTGAAGTAAATGGGGGATTTATTGAATTAAAATAAATTCTATGTAGTTCAACATTGAATTTGACCTGCAAGTCAAAAAACTATAAATATTACTCCCTTTTGAGGGAAAGTCAAAGATGAGAGAAAAGAAAGACCTGAGGGGTTCAGTTTTTTTCACAATTTTACTGCACAGCCATATTCCTGCAAAAAATTGAATTTGATTCCTAGTGAAAATTAACTAAAATTTTATTCATTTTAATCCCCACTTATTGAGTATAAAGTTAAAGCAGTTTTCGTAATTTATTTTAAATCTCTCTACTAACACGATTAAACCAACCCAAGATAAATTGCTTATGTCATTTTATAGCATTACAGTACTTCTTTCTGAAGGCAATAATATACACATGAACTTTATAAAGTTTAGTGTCTAGTAAGCAGAGAGCCTCAGATAAGTACATGAAAGTTAAGACTTGCTCTCCAATGGTAAAGTTGTTTGTAATAACGATGGCATTGGCTAAGAAACATACATTTAACATTTGCTCCAATACTAGCTTGTCAGTGAGCATCATAAAACTTCCCTTTTGTGGTAAAATCACCATATCCCATATCCTCCCTCTTAGACTTCTGACTCTGCCCTAACTTTTCTATAGCATGTGTCAACTTATAAATTATATAATTTGCTTGCTTTTTCCTTAATGTTTCCTCTACTAAAATGTAAGATCTCTAGGTGAAGAAATTTTGCACATTTAAGACTTATCTCAAATACCTGTAATAGTGATGCCACTGAATAAGTATTGAGTAAATACTTGGGAATTGAATGAATAAATTTAGTAATATTTTCTCAAAAATTATCATTATACCTGGGTACTGGTACTTCATACCTATAATCCTGGCTACTCAAGAAACTGCAATCTGAAGATCTTGGTTGAAAATTAGCCTGGAAAGGAAAGCCCATGAGATTTATACTTCCAATTAACCTCTCAAAACCTTGAAGTGGAAAATGGCTCAAGTGATAGAGTGCTAGCCTTGCACATAAAAGCTCAGAGACAGCATCCAGGACCAGAGTTCAGCACAAAAAATACAACTATATTAAAAGAACTCTTATTGTAAGAATTATTATAAGAGCTATTGTAAGAAAAGAAAATGTATAAAAATTTAAAGATAGAACTATACATCAGATTGATTTCACTTGGGGCAGATAGATGAGAAATAAGTTCTAGGTATCCAAAAATCAAATTGTAGATTCCAAAGAAAAAATCAAGTTGCTAGTTCATTCCCTCCTCTGTAAGCATTAGTATTATTTAAAGAGATTCCCAAGAGTTCTATAGTATATCATTCCTAAACCTCTAGGCATCTTCAAATGAATGTAATTGGAAAATCAGTGTGCTTTTAATGAAAAATCTGACATAATTGTTTTTCATTAATGTAATATAATCTGTTGTTCCTTAAGGGGAAAAGTTCAAAGGAAAAAAATCTTTAAATTATATCTTGCTTTTAGTTAGTGTTGTTTAGTCTAGGGAGGGGATGAAAATCCTTTCTGATGACAATTAACAGCTTGAAGTCATGTTTTAAATATTTTCTAACAACTCAAAGACCCCAGTGAGCACAGTTGTAAATACGTCTCTCATCATTAGTAACTAGACAGATTAATTTTGCCAAACAGATAGCAATCCCAGAAACATCTGGTTCTTGGGCCAAGTATAGATGCTCTACAGGCAAGGTTCTTTCCTTGAATAGTCTCCTATTATCTAGATGGCAGAGACTTTTGATGGTTAAGGCAATAACAGAGCTACTCAGCCCTCATTTGACACACTCCTGCTGTCTCTAACTAACTCAAATCCTCCTCAAGAACCAGAGCAATAATTTATGACCCAAATTATGTTTTGATTCTTATTGACCTCAAAGTCCTAGTGCCACGGATAGTTGCAATTCATTGTTTTTGTATATAAACATTTTACTGTTAAGTTGGCTATCAATAATATTGTTTCTCCTATATATCTTCTATATGAGTTTTCAAAATGAAATTCTTCACATTCTGTGTTATTGAAATATTATCTAGCCAACAGCATAAACCCAGCCATGGTGGAAGCAACTGCAGTGTGATCTAACTATACTGTATACCTCCCACACAACACACTTATTTGAGTACTGTCATTTGTTTTTTGAAAACAGCATCAGTGTGTTTCTATAAATCTTCCAGTGGTATTTCCTAAAAGAGGAATATATTGGCCGGGCGCGCTGGTGGCTCACGCCTGTAATCCTAGCTACTCAGGAGGCTGAGATCTGAGGATCGCGGTTCAAAGCCAGCCCGGGCAGGAGAGACCGTGAGACTCCTATCTCCAATAAACCACCAGAGAACTGGAAGTGGCGCTGTAGCTCAAGTGGTAGAGCGCTCGCCTTGAGCTGAAGAGCTGAGGGACAGCGCCCAGGCCCAGAGTTCAAGCCCCACGGCCGACAAAAAAAAAAAAAAAAAGAGGAATATATTTACATTGTCCTCCAATTTTACTCTATGTGTTTTGGATATGAAATATTTCACTACTGTACACATGTTAACATGGACCTGAATATTTTAAAGAATAATTAAGTGAATAAAATAG